TAGAATTTAGGGCCTAAGGTTTAGGGTTTACGGTTCAGGGATCTATAGGTTTGGGCTTAATGATTGTTGAACCTTTTCGGTACTAGTGGTCACCAACAGCAACCCAGATCTACTTCTCATGACCAGGAAGTCGTGAGGCCAGCAGCTAGGTTCAGTCGGATTTAGATTGCTTGTGGATTGATTGCTAACCTAGCTTGGGTACTCCTAGTTGCAGACTTGTGCGGTGTATACAGATAAGCACGCAGCACTTGCACGTGGCTTGAATTAGTTGCCGCACGGCAACTGCCTGTTTGTGCATACTGCCAACGCTCAATTCAGATCTTATATCAGCAAGTTAGGCTGCATAAGGCTGGTATAGAATGCGCCTGCTTGCGCTTTCGGCCACGTCTGCAAGTCATTGAAAGAGGTGCGAACGGGTCATGTCAAAGTGTCAGTTTAAGGCTCGTTCAAACCCTAAACCCCTAAACCCCTGAACCCTAAACGCTAAACCCTTAACCCTAAACCCTAAACCCCTGAACCCTATAGACCCTAAACCCTAAACCCCTAAACCCTAAACCCCTGAACCCCTAAACCCCTAAAACCCTAAACCCCCTAAACCCTAAACCCTCTGTGTCGGGAAGGTGTCGGAGGCTTCATCCTTGCAGGTAATCGGCAAGTACAGATGCTTCAGACCGAGCTCTGTAATTCCGGTACCACTTTAGGGTTTAGGGTGTAATGGTTCAGGTACCACTTTAGGGTTTAGGGTGTAATGGTTCCGGTACCACTTTAGGGTTTAGGGTGTAATGGTTCCGGTACCACGTTAGGGTTTAGGGTGTAATGGTTCCGGTACCACTTTAGGGTTTAGTGTGTAATGGTTCAGGTACCACTTTAGGGTTTAGGGTTTAATGGTTCAGGTACCACTTTAGGGTTTAGGGCTTAATGGTTCAGCTACCACTTTAGGTTTCAGGGTTTAATGGTTCAGGTACCACTTTGTGAATATTTGTATTGCGGATCTTGGGCTGCGGCACTGACAGTCACCGGCACCTGTGTCGTTGTTGAAGTTGGACGTCTTCCGGCAGGCAGGGCTCAGCAAGTTCAAGAAACAGGTCGCCTGAAACCGAACCCAACAAGATCCTCTCCCGAAGGAGTCCGCGCAAGCCCCGATGAATGATTGAGGTTTAAGAATCCGAACGAACACCTTGGGCGCCGGGCTAAACCCCCGGGCCCCAGGGGAAACTACGCCCCCAAAAATGCAGAAAGCCCCGTCAGCACCACCCTAGACCCCCAAGCCCACACCACATTATCTTCAACTTTGAGCCCTGGACTCGACTCTCTCATGTCGCGCCGCTCCCCTCATGGCACCCAGAACGACGACGATGAGGCACCGGGTTCGCGATTGGTGATGGTTGGTGCCTGTTTGGGGTCGCCGGAATTTTGCTAAGGTTCGAAGGGACGTCCCTTGCCATCGGCTGTTTCTGTGATGCATAGGCCCTGGGAGTATCTCAGTCATAAGACTCGAAAGGCTCGTTGAAAGCTCTGAAGTGGGGCAAGATACCCTCCCTTTTAGCCTACACCCGAAACACCGAAACCCTGAATCCTAGCCCCCCAAGCTTGTGCGTTTGGGCTGCAGTAGTTAAAGCAGAGAGAAACCCCTACTATAGGGGCCTTCAAAATTACCTCTACTATTTTGGGGGTTCCGTAGTATAATTATAGTACAACAGACCCCAAAACCCTGTTCTAATTATTAAGGTCCCTACATTATGCTACATGGAACTGGGGCCACTTGCTGAGCCCCGAACATGGAAAATTCAAATGCCGATTGACTCGAGTGCCCGAGACTTCCCTGGGGGTCGTGAATGACGGGCCCACGCTTCTCACGAGTGGTGCAACTTAAAACGGCGATTCTGATTTAAGGTTGTCCCTTTTTAGACAACAAACCTAAGCCCTGTAAACCCTAAAGCCGCTGAGTCACATGCTTCATGTGTTCGTTCATGCCTGAACTTCACGCTCCAAGCCCTCAGCTTTCCTTCTGCTGCGATTTCAACCTCCAAAGAAACAAAAAAGCCCCAAACCTCTACAGGTAAACCCGGAAAGCTACTAACCCCCTCAAGGGCGAACAGGATTTATTTATAATTGTGCAGTGCACTTTGCCTTACCCTCAAGCCCTATTCAAGTTGTTGAGGCCCCCTACATTTAATCCAAAAAAGCCCAAGCCCGAGCTTAAGACTCCAAGCCCCTGAGCCCCGGTGCCCTAAGCCCTAAACCCTGAACCCCAGGAATCGAGCTTCTTTGCCGGTCAGCTCGGGAGGCGGATCTGGGATCAGGACGACGAAGCGGCAGCCCTTAGGGTTCCGGCTGTGTACGGTTTCGGGCCTTGGGGTGCAGAGGTTAGTGTGCAGGGATATCCCGGGGGTTTGGGATGCATCCAGTGGCTTTAGACACCAACCAGTCTGAGGGGTCCATTGTTGCAGGAGGTCCTTTGCAATTCTTTTCTGGATGAAGGTCCCGATACTTAAAGCTTAGGCCTCGTCATCGACCTCGTCGAACGGGCCTTCCCTGGTGGTTGACTTCGGTTTTCCTTAGGCGTGTACTGGTGACTGCTAAAGCTGCTATACTACATTGCATGTCGTCATTCTGAGTGGTGTTATCGTCAAGGCCTCTGTGTTATCAGTACTTCAATGGCTGTTGTTGCATGGACTACTGCTCTTGCCATAAGCAACAGCTTCCATCGGCATCAGTCTTCTAGCGCAGCTTGGGCTGGTGAAGACGATATTGCACAGGACCTGGTGTTCTTCAGCGACGACACTGTGGCTGAGGCGCCCGCTGCTTTAGCCTACATCCTAAAACCCTAAGCATTGTAATTATGCCTTACACCCGGAGCCAAGCATGTATCTGTTTCATCTCCGACGGAATCCAACCTTATGGTGCCCCAAAGTCACGTAGAGAAGCCTGAAACCTCTCTGGCAACCCTAAACAACCAAAAGCCGTAAAAGATCCCTTTTAGCACAGTCGGATGCCCCACACAACACCCCAAGCCTTGAACGAGGGCTTGCAGCCGTCGGCGCTGAATGGCGGGAACATCGTCGACATCTTCCAGCGCCGAGAGGAGTCCCTATAGCTTCTGCCCTCGAGGGTTTAGGGTTTATAGGGTT